TTTGTTTATTTGTTTTTTATGTTAGTCTGCACATAATCTGTTCCACACTCCAGTCCGGTAGGTGGCGGTAATGCTCCTAAATGCTGGCTGCCAATCACCGCCAATCAAATCAAAAGAAGAAGAAGAAGAAGATGAAGATGCCCCACGCGTCACTTCCGCATTCCCCGATTCCAACAGAAGTCTGTAGTAGTGTCGCGAGTGGCGCACAGACGCTCTTCTCACACAGCTGCCCAATCGGCTTCCTCGATTCGTGACAGCAGGCCAATCGCAGAGCCCGCGTCCGACTGAAAACTATTCAACATGGAGACAACAGTTGAAAAGCTGAAGCGATGGTAAGCACAGTGTAAATTTATGAATTTTCTGTAGTAGTGACTTTCTGAAATTGCTCTTATTGTTGGACGATTCCAGAGACAACCAGCAGCTAATTAATTACCGATGTATTCATTCGAGCTGCCTATGTCAGGAAGAGCGGCATGGTTTCTCTTTTTGTTAATGAGCGATTCAAACTCCTGCGCTCCATTCAGCTCCAGTCAGCAAGCTGGCTTCCTGCAGCTCTGCTCCAACCTGTTTTAATCTCCAACAAAGGCCATTGCTCCCAGCGTAGGGCCACTTCAGACAGATGCTTTCTAACGTCACTGACTTCAAGGTCCATAAGTTAGCTTTTAGCTGCTGTTCCGTTTGACCATAAACAACAACACGCTCAGCTGCTCATCGCCAAGATCGCAGGCATGAGCTTCACCTGACCTGAGTTATCAGCCTATAAACGGCTCTATAAAACCAAAACACGCTGTATTAATCTTAACTCAAGGGCTATCTACTGTTTTTTCCGGAGCTTTCAACAGCATCTCAGTTGTCATGTCAAAGGTCCACACTACACACTGATTGTAAGCAGGGTCGTAGAAAAGTGACAAAGTATTCTCCCAGCAGTGAAGTTTAATTGGCAGTAATATTCCTAAGTTGCAGAATGTCAGTATTTTTGCATACTTGCTGCTGTCACAGTACGATGATTAGTATACTGTACAGTAGTGTGGACTTTTACAAAAAGACCCATTGAAAGCAGCAAGACTAGACGGCCGCCCCATTCATTTTCTATGGAACACAAAGCAGTGTTTCCCACAGGATTCTTCAGGAGACTTCTCCCCACCTGGAAGAAGATATTGTACATTTTAAAGTTAAATGCCTTAATTTTGTGTAAAATTAAGAGACTATCTATGAAGAATTTTGCACTCTTGTAAACAATGTTGTGTTCTAGTTCTACCTTTTTGATATGAACCCCTTGTAGAGCTATAAATGGTGATGAAACAAAAGTCAACATTTATTTAATGTTTTTCCAGTAACCCTAAATCAAAGAATAGAATAAGTAATTTCCAAATAATATATAATAACATTTTATTGTTGTTGTTGTTGTTTTTATGGAAACATGAAATATGTTTTATACCTTCTGTGAATCTTATTCAGGGTTTTTCCTGCATAGAGAAATTTTTGTCTGAATGTGTTTTAATAGCCATTTCTCAAGCAACTGTTGAGCAAACAGAACATAAACTTAAATACGACGTCTTGACCTCCAGCAGTCACCTCTCCCCTCATCCACAGCGGCTGTATTTTACACATGCAGCAGGAGCTAGATTTAGAAACTAGCTGCTGTTGGTTAGACTGTGCCTGAACGCTCTGCACGAAGCTCTTCCTGTTATTTCTCACAATATAAAAGCTGTTTGTGCTTCAAGTGTGCCGGTATTCACCGGTACTGTCACGTTTACATTTTACTCTTTGGCGTACCAGCACTGGGACTTTCCTCTGCCCTCTCCAGATCAGCTCACCTGGACCGTTCTCTCCTGCCTGCTAATCTCCGCAGGGGAGATCGGGATACTTTCATGCAGCCATGTGCAGTAGTTGCTCATCACAGTCACATTTCATGAACTGACCAATCACAGGAGGAGGTGGGACATTAAAAAAAGGTTGAGGCACTACAGCAAGTTAATTTGCATAAACAAATGAGACTAACCACCATGTAGAGCATTTTTCTTGCACAATAATTTAATGACTGAAAACAACCCACAAAAATGAAACTACTGTCTGCTACTAATAAGCTATAGTAGCCTGTGCTATTATCTGAAATTATAATAAATATACAAACATCAACACTAATAGTGGTGTAGACTAATATCAGAAAATGGTTTTATTAGTGAAACAGCTGAATCTCAACTAATAAAGGATCAGGATAAAGTCTCTAACCTGCCTGTTAGCTCATACTGGTCCATTACAGTGGATTTACCATAAAGGCTTCAACACGTGTGCACTCCAAATTTAGGTGCGGCTACTTAAATCACCTTCTCATAAACGAGTGACAGAAACAGACGTACCGTAGTTACCTCAAAAGAAAAGTGCTTGCCTTGAGTTGGATGCCAAAGTGTGTGAGTGTGTGAGTTTACACCAGCACCCGCAAAACAGTGTTAGAGGTCTGTAATGTTGTTATGAGATGTGTAAAAATATTTTCGGTTAATTTGGAAACTATGGTGGAACACAGACTGACGCCATGGTCTCATTAATTAATGGGAAACACTGCAAAGCATTGCAGGATTCCTTGTATGTGATCTAAAGAGTTGAAGAAGAAAGGGGTCAAAAGTTAAAAATGTTAAACTTTATGCAAATGAGGGTGAAAATCAGCTGTTGGCAGGTGCTCTGACTTCATTGCACTACTGTATCAGACAGCTAGCAGTGCAATAGTATTGTCAAAGCATCTGAAAACTGCAGAGACCAGCTGCACTGACTGCTCTACGATTCTAGACTGTACCGAGTCAAGTTTCTATCTAGACCTTTCACCCTTGCCTGCATTAAAACCCAGCTCTTTGTACCCTCGGACTGAATATGCCCTACCCATTGCATATTGTGTGATTTTGAAATTCTGTTTGGCACATCAGAACAGTAGACACTGTTGAAGAATTATTGTGAGCCAGGTTCAACTGTGATGAAGTTTCGGAGACTGATGAAGACTTAACATAGCATGGTTTATTAAGCCCGGCCGAGGAGATACAGTGCCAACATGTGTACACGTCAAAGCCAACACCAAATCTGAAGGCTAACATCTTTTGGTCCCTTTTATGTTTTTCTCTTCCCCCTACTTCATGTATGTTACCCTCTTAGGTCATCTTTAACTGGCTTTAACCTAGAACAACAAATCTATCTGCTATTTTATCATATATTCTTTAACAGCCTCGGGACAAAGAACCTGTAGGTTTCATCAAGGATGGCATTCATGTTGTCATTTGAAGTTCATTTTGCATACAGAAACTGCATTTCTGGGTATTCTGGATATTTGTGATTTGTAATCCTGTTTACAGATTCTTTGATCAGATGGTTCCTGATTTTAGTAATAATCACCAGTTTTTGTTATTGTTCTTGTACAGCTTGTATTTAGACAACTTTTAACAATTGAGAACTTCGTCATTTAGCAGCACTATTATCAGAACAGCCCTACTTATGAGCAGAAGGAAGCAGGGTATATACTGTATGCCAGTGTACTATCTAATTGTAAAGCTGGGTGTTGTTACAGTTCCTCAAGTCAGAGGCAGACCTGGAATACATCGAGAAGCGGCTAAAGCTGGACTTCATCAACAATGCTGCAGAGAATAGATGTCCCACCGAGGTGGTAACTGAACTCCCACAGCTGTTAATTATCAATATTTTCACACAACTAAAGCCAACACCACTATTCTTGTGTCCTGTAGACACCGCTATTTGGTGTCTACATGACACAACATATAAATGATTGGATGGACAAAATGTATTTGACTGTCACTGGCTGATAGCTTTCCATATAAACACAGTTCATAGAGGCACATGCTGCCAGGTTTTGTCATTCAGGTTTTGAAACACATGTAATACAAAATTCACTTATGAAATAGGGTTGGGTGATCGTCTCTATTTTCATATTGTCTGATCATGGCTACTTGAGATCACTGATTGATGATCTGATCGCCAGGGGCCGGGGTTACGTTGCAGGAAGTCAGTTAAATGCTGGCATGAAAGAAATAGGCTTATTAGCTTTAAGAGAAACAATCAGAAACATCTGTAAATGCACAGTACAGTGTTTCCCACAGAATTGCTCTGTACCTGTGGCGCCGTGCACATGAGGCGGGGAGAAGGGGGGTGTAATCAATAGCAGCTATGTACAGCATGTCAACCTCGACAACCCAGCTGTATTCAACTTTAACGTATCCGTCTCCGACACTGAAAGTGTTGTTAAGAAAATAGATAGACTAACTTCCCAGAGTTAACTGGATGGATGATTACCCTGAGTTGAGACGGCAAAACCGCAAATTCTGTTTACTTTCTGTCTCCACACAAGCATGGTACATTATCAGCACGAGGACACGTAGTCCGTTAAAATATATTTCTTCATGGCCTCCATGTTAAAAGCCCCGCTGCTGTCATGGTAACATCACGTTACACTGTGTGTCTTCTAACGTTCGGCCGTTTCATATTTTCTGTTTATTTAACAGCCACGTATGAGCTGTTATTGTTATTATCACAACAAATTTGATTCCTTTTAAGATGGGCTGCTATTGTCATTATTCTAATGTGTTTCATCTGGATGATTGAATAAAATACTGATTTATTGATTAGACATGTTTTTGATATTTATTTTGGATAATTTTTTTTTCTTTAGAATACACAAAATTAATTGACTAATCGAAAAAAATTATCGTTATGTACAGCCCTAATTACAATCAGTTAAAATAATAAATCCTTTATTTATTTTTTTTATTGTTTACCCCACGTTACCCCATGTATCTCCTGTAGGTACTTCTTGCAAATGTTTCAATACATAAAGAAACATACTGCAAAACAAGACCCTAACCCTAACCCTAACCCTAACCCACTCTTGAGGCTGCCATGCAAGGTGCTTGCAACAGTTCTCTCACAGCGCTCTTCATAAAAGAGCAGGTCTAGACTGTACTCTGTGATCATAAACAGAAACTAATGTCTTAAAGCTTCCCTTGTTAATAATCAGTCCTTGCAACGCGTTATCCATGGATCCTTTAAAGTTTAACCAGTGAATAATAATACCTGTGTTTAATTTTGTAGTGTCAATTTAAATTCTCTTCATTATTATGAATATTGGAAATCCCATTTATACCTTGTCTTTAGTTCAGACCTATAAGGACTTGGTTTGTCACCCACAGTCCTGTTTTGCTGTACATAACGGTTAACAATATACCAGGTGAAACGTGCCAAAAAGCAGCTGAGGCTAGATGTTTGAACAGTGACTGACTGACACTGTGCCTGCAGGAGAACCCGGCGGTGATGCTGGAGAACCTGAGGGCCATCAAGGCCAAACACACAGCGTTGTGCTCTCAGGTGAAGGAGATCGCCGCTGCACAGAAAGAGTCTATGGATTCCATCACAAACAACCTCAGCAGTGTCATGGACCTGATCCAACACTTCCAACAGACTACTGATGTGGAGGTACCCACACAAGCAGCATGCTCACTACTGAAACATCACCTTATGTGCTCATACTGTTTACAGAGGAGTGTTCGCCAGTGTGTTGACTTCCGATGGACATGATTCCTGTCAGAGTTGAAAGCGTAAATAAGAAACCCCTTTTTGTCTAAGCCCCAGATATCCGGTAGAGCTTGTCACATCCCATGCTAGTTAGTGATGTTTCCAGTCAGGATGCTTTCTCTCATCTGTAAAAGCTGACAAGAACTTGGCACAGGAATTTAGCCTTGTTAAGTTATCTTAAGAAATACAGTTGTTTCTGAACTTTCTTCACCAGTGTGGAGATGTGAGATGTCCATGTCAGGTTTTCTGTGATGCTGTTTTCCAGGAACTTGAAACTGTTCACCTGCTCCACTGATGTAGAAAGGAGTGTGTGTCTTTAGCTCCTTGATTTGCTGACGTTGGGCAGTAGGTTGTTCTCTGTACACCACTGCAACATTGTGGATTTCCTCCAGATATGAAGTCTCATCGTTGTTTTGAAATCTAGTCGAATAGATTTCTCTCCATGTCTCGGGTTGCAGTGGTAGATGTACAGCGTGAACAGGAGCGGGCAGAGCACACAGCCCTGGGAGGCTCCAATGTTGAGCACTAGAGTGGAGGGGGTGTGGCCGGATACTGCAGACGTTTTAGGTACAGGGACGATTGTGGCTGGTTCCCACCTCTCCTGAGACAGTGAGATTTTGAAAATGTCAGTAATAAATAGGGATGGGGATTGATACCCTGATCTAGGACCCGGTGAGTAACAAGACATTACTTTACCAATACACCTGTGTGTAGGTTAAACATGTAGAAAGGGTTAATTTAAACTGCTTCGTCCAGTCCCTCATCCTGTTTGATTTATACAAGCACAGCTAACGTTAGCTTGGCATTAGTAAAATGTTAAAACAAGCTAAATAGAAAGCTGTCTGTCTGGAGCTCAGACTAGTCTGTAGTCTTAAAATTTGGCACATTGTTGTAAACTCAGCTGCTTTCTGAGTCAAACCAGCTCCTCCTTCGACCAGATAACGTTACCTGCAGTGAAAAACAGCAGAGAGGAGGAGGAAGAAGGACAGATGCAGACTTCTTCATTCTTTCTAAACATATTGTGATGTCAGATATTGACTTTATATAGTGATGTTGCTACATTAATGTTGCTGCTTTAGAGACAACATTTAGTTGTATTTAAAATATTAAATTCTAATTCTATGAATTATTTATTTATTATTTATAGCAAGTGATATGTCATCTCAATATATCACAATGATATCACACACTGAATATTTTCCTCACACAGTGCAGGCCTGCCTCATGCCTGTTGGGTCTGGTCTTTCCAAATAACAGTCCCCAAATAATGGTAAAGGATGGATAGTGGTGTCGATAAAGACTCGGATCATTAAGCAGTCTCAATAATGATATCAAGATCAATAAAATCAAAGCTGCAAGCAGCGTTGGGTGGGCCCTCGCACGTGACGCTGCACGAAGGTGTTAATGGCTAACTGAATATTGCCATGTAGATATGACATGTAGATATCAACAAGTTGTACAATAACTTCACGTCCAGCACTCCTAGTCATACATACTAAAGTCTTCACTCAGCCACAAAGTTATCAGGGGCCAAAGCGTCGAGGAGACCAAGGAAAGGTTGCCATATTAACGTGAACTTTTCTCTAATTTAAAAAATACAATTCAATTTTATTTATATAGCGCCAAATCACAACAACAGTTATCTCACAGCGCTTTTCATAAAAGAGCAGGTCTAGACCGTACTCTGTGATGTTATTTACAGAAGCCCAACAGTTCCCACCAAGAGCAAGCACTAGGCGACAGAGGCAAGGAAAAACTTCCTTTTAAGAGGCAGAAACCTCGAGCAGAACCATGGCTCAGGGTGGGCGGCCATCTGCCTCGACGGTTGGGGGGTGAGAGAGAGAGAGAGAGAGAGAGAGATGTAAGGAGAGAGAGATGTAAGGAGAGAGAGAGGGGAGGGAGGCAGCCTACACAATACACACAGAGGTACACACA